AGCAAGCAAGCTGCTTTGCCTTTCCACTGCCAGAGGCTCTGCACATTTAGAAACGGAACCATGAAAGGCATAACTTTAGATTTCCTCTTACGTAAATTAAAATTAATGAACTGCTTTCTTCGTTTGGGATCTCATTTTTCCCTCTCAGAATAATAGTGCCAGATTCTTTCCTACCAAAATGGAGGATCACCACGAAAGAAGCAGGTACATCCATAAACATGAAATTTCTTACATGCTCTAGCACTCTGCTGATTGAAACCATTTTCTTTTAACCTTAGTCACTTTGAAGGCTGGAGGTTGGTGAAAGCCTACTTGCTGTGAATTAAGTACCACTTCCATTCTGGACTGCAACTCAGCACATCCTCGTTGAGGGCCAATATGCGCAAGCTATGCATGAAAAGCTGGGAACCACCTAGAGGCAGATGCTGACTCCTGCCCTAAGGCGCTCAGCTCAGTCTTGTAGCTGTTGTGCACCTGCACTGAGGCTTACTGCCCAACAAGGATTGACTTTACCATGTTGTGTTGCGGTACAAGCGCAAGAAGAGGAATTTTTTTAAACCTAGTGCCACAGGATTTAAAGGCAGGAGTGGAGGAGAGGTGGTGGTTTAGAAAAAGCTTCTGGGGGCCGGACGCGGTGGCTCAAGCCTGTAATCCCAGCACTTTGGGAGGCCGAGGCAGGTGGATCACGAGGTCGAGAGATCGAGACCATCCTGGTCAACATGGTGAAACCCCGTCTCTACTAAAAAATACAAAACATTAGCTGGGCATGGTGGCACGTGCCTGTAATCCCAGCTACTCAGGAGGCTGAGGCAGGAGAATTGCCTGAACCCAGGAGGCGGAGGTTGCGGTGAGCTGAGATTGCTCCATTGCACTCCAGCCTGGGTAACAAGAGCGAAACTCTGTCTCAAAAAAAAAAAAAAAAAAAAAAAGAAAAAGCTTCTGGAAGCAGAGGCTGGACACCATGGGGATGACATAGACATTCACAAATGCTTAACAGAACGCCAGGCATTGAATCAGGCTCATTCCAAACATCATTCTTCTTTTTTGAGAGAGTCTTGCACTGTCGCCCAGGCTGGTGTGCAGTGGCATGATTTTGGCTCATAGCAGCCTCCACCTCCTGGGTTCAAGCGATTCTCATGCCTGGGTCTCCCGAGTAGCTGGGACTATAGCTGGGACTACAGGCATATGACACAATGCCCAGCTAATTTTTGCATTTTTAGTAGAGATGAGGTTTCATCATGTTGGCTAGGCTGGTCTCAATCTCCTGACCTCAGGTGATCTACCCTCCTTGGCCTCCCAAAGTGCTGTGATGACAGGTATGAGCCACCACACTCATTTCCGTGCCCCTTCTTCTCACTCTGTCAATCAGGCTGGAGTGCAGTAGTACAATCATAGCTCACTGCAGTCTTGAACTCCTGGACTGAAGGGATCCTCCCACCTCAGCTTCCTGAGTGACTAGAATTAGAGGTACATGCCACCATACCCTGTTAATATTTTAAGTATTTTTTTTTTTTTTGTAGAGACAGGTTTTCTGTATTGCCCAGGCTGGTCTCAGACTCCTCAAGTGATCCTCCCATCTCAGCCTCCCAAAGCTCTGGAATTATAGGCATGAACCAACACACTTGGCCTCATCTAATTTTCAAATCTGATGTAAAGTTCCTTGTTTGCAGTTAATTACAAATTAAAGAGATTAGAAAATATCAGCAAAAAACATGATCATACTAGACATACTATTTTAAAACTTGTTTTTACCAGTTGGTACATTTTCTGTCGTCAAGTATGCTTTCTCACAAACTCTTAAAGATGGCATGATTTCTTATCTTGCCTTGTCTTTTCTTTCCTTTTTTTGTTTTAGTTTTTTTTTTTTTTTTTTTTTGATACAGGGTTTCACTGTGTTGTGCAGGCTAGAGTGCAGTGATACAATCTCACCTCACTGCAGCCTCAACCTTACAGGTTCAAGCAAACCTCCTGCCTCAGCCTCCCAAGCACCTGGGACTATGGGTGCACACCACCACACTTGGCTAATTTCTATATTGTTTGTAGAGACAGAGTTTTACCATGTTGCCCAGGCTGGTCTTGAACTCCTGAGCTCAGATGATCCACCAGCCTCGGCCTCCCAAAGTGTTGGGATTATAGAAGTGAGTCTCTGCACCTGGCCACTGCGTGATTTCTTTAACCATTTCCGTTGTAGCTATTATAGGTAAAAAGATATAAACATAAGAAGAGTTAAACCCTGAAAGTATTAGGAGAAAATATATAACCTAAATGGTGGACGTATTTTTATATGTATGATATTAAGGATAGACGCGTAGGCTGGGTGTGGTGAAACCTCATCTCTTCTAAAAATACAAAAAAAAATTAGCTGGGCTTGGTGGCAGACACCTGTAATCCCACCAACTCAGGAGGCCGAGGCAGGGGAATCACTTGAACCCAGAAGGCAGAGGTTGCAGTGAGCTGAGATTGCACCACTGTACTGCAGCCTGGGTGACAGAGCAAGACTCTGTCTCAAAAAAAAACAGGAAGAAAAAAGAAAAAACGATAAAAACATAATAGAAAAGATGAGTAGTTTTGAACCAATAAAAATTAAAAATCCTTTGGGTATCAAGAGTACTCTAAATAAAATGTAAAGGCACTGTCTTGTTTAACTCTCACAATAGCTTTGTGAAGTAGGTACTTAGCTTTAGAGAAGGGGAAACTGAGGCATAGAGAACGGGCAATGTGGAAATCAGTGCTTTCTATGAGACTGATGATTTTTCTGTGTGTGGTGTGTGTGTGTGTGTGTGTGTGTGTGTGTGTGACAGAGTCTCACTCTGTCACCCAGGCTGGAGTGCAGTGGTGCAATCTTGGCTCACTGCAACCGCTTCCAAGTTCAAACTATTCTCCTATCTCAGCCTCCCCAGTAGTTGGGAGTACAGGTGCATGCCACCATACCTGGCTAATTTTTGTTTTGTTTTGTTTTGTTTTTTGGAGACAGAGTCTCAGTCTGTCACCAACACTGGAGTGCAATGGTGCCATCTCAGCTCACTGCAACTCCCGCCTCCCAGGTTTAAGTGATTCTCCTGCCTCAGCCTCCCAAGTAGCTGGGACAATAGACAGGTACCACCAAGCCTGGCTAATTTTTGTATTTTTAGTAGAGATGGGGTTTCACCATGTTGGCCAGGCTGGTCTCAAACTCCTGACCTCGAGTGATTTGCCTGCCTTAGCCTCCAAAAGTGCTGGGATTACAGGCGTGAGCCACTGCACCCGGTGAGACTGATGATCTTGGTGAAGCTGAAAAAATAAGAGGCAGAGTGAGGAGATAGCTCGAGTTTAGTCTTTCCAACAGCCTTGGATATGAATCCCCGCTTTACCATTTAGGAAAGGTGATGGAAGGGCAGCTTTTCAGACAGCTGAAAATATTGTATTTTCATTCCACATTTTAAAGTGTTCACTTACATGTGCTGTCTCATGATAACTATTTTGACAAAGAAAATAACTTTTTTAGATGTCTTGAAAGGAACGTCAGGTGGATCTTAAAATATGACATCCAGAGACAGCAAGAACAAATTAGATGCTAATTACAATTCCTTTTACTATCCTTATGGTCTACTATACTGTCTCTAAAATAGTAGAAATTGTTAAGGCCACACTTTAATAGGTATAGTATAATATAGATCATTAACTACTTTTTAAAGAGATGGAAGGTAAAAGCCAAAACTGTATGAGCTGTTATCAATTAGGCAAAATAGAATCAAAGAGTTTCCAGCTATCATAATAGTTTATTAGTGGGAAAATCTAGAATGAAGAAATTTAAAATTTAAATGTTGTTTAGGTCATCTTTAGGTAGATTCAATCAAGTTTAAAATTCTACCACGTCTTAGATATGAGCAGATGGCTCATTGATGGCATTCAGTAAAATCTTTCTGCATAGTTGGTTTAAAATTTGACTTAACACAACAATATAATATTTATCTTCTCTAGAGTAACAAAATTTCTGTTATATCATAACCTTGACGTGTTTACAAAATCATGTTTAATGGGCTCTTGAGAGCTCTGGTGAATACCATAATTTGGTCTGTTTTCAGCCTTTTTTTTTTTTTTTGAGACAGAGTTTTGCTCTGTTGCCCAGGCTGGAGTGCAGTGGCGCGATCTCAGCTCACTGCAACCTCTGCTGCCTGGGTTCAAGCGATTCCCCTGCCTCAGACTCCTTAGGCACCTGCCACCACAGCTGGCTAATTTTTTGCATTTTAGTAGAGACAGGGTTTCACCATGTTGGCCAAAATGGTCTCAATCTTCTGACCTCATGATCCGCCACCTCGACCTCCCAAAGTGCTGGGATTACAGGCGTGAGCCACTGTTCCTGCCTTGTTTTCAGCATTTTTAAGGAATCTGGGAAAGCTATAGGAAATGAAGTATCTATTGTAAACTTTTTGTATCAGGCTTAACTACTGCTTTCTTGAAGTTTAGCAAAAGGATAAAGGACTGTATGTTCTTCATTAACTATAGTCAAAACTGAATTTAATAATTTTTGATAGCTGTTTAGAATAACTGTTTGACTCTCTCCTATGAAGAATATTAAGATTTTTAGCATTTGAGAGTCCTAATATACCCCCTGAAAATTCAGAAGACTTAGGGCCGGGCGCGGTGGCTCAAGCCTATAATCCCAGCACTTTGGGAGGCCGAGGCAGGTGGATCACGAGGTCAAGAGATCGAGACCATCCTGGCAAACATGGTGAAACCTCATCTCTACTAAATACACAAAAAAATTAGCCAGGCATGGTGGCGGATGCTGGTAATTCCAGCTAATCAGGAAGCTGAGGCATGAGAACTGTTTGAACTCAGAAGGTGGAGATTGCAGTGAGCTGAGATTGCACCACTGCACTCCAGTCTGGGCGACAGAGTGAGACTGCCTCAAGAAAAAATAAAAATTAGTAGTCTTTATCATTTAATTCCTTGTATATACATATATGCTTGTAGACATGTATAAGTATAATTTAGTACATTTTATTTTTCCCAAACAGATAAATAATCAGATTCTGTATGGAAGAAGTCACCAAAATGCATCTGCCATTATTAAGACTGCCCCATCAAAGGTCAAGCTGGTTTTCATCAGGTAAGGTTGCTGGATCTGGTTTTGCAAAATCAAAGATCTCTTCTGAAGATGTTATTAGTGTAAGACTATGTCATATTTGATTGTCTAGCAAAATCACTGTTCCTTCTAAAAATACATATCCCTTTTGTAACTGTCACTTTAAGAAAGTATTGATTGTTTTGATTATGAGATTTTCTTATTTGCTTTTCATGTTTCACAGGATAGAATTGGTAGCTGAGGCTAGTACTTATATTTCAGTTACAAAACATTCTTGCCTTTCTGGATCCATTTATCTTGTATATAAGCATAATGAAACCTGCTAACATCTCTTCCTGTCACTATTATTTGGCACATTAAGAATTAACAGGAAAACAGAACTGAGAGCATTTTTAGGAGCCTTTTTTTTTTTTTCCCACAGATGTGGTTTCACCATGTTGGCCAGGCTGGTCTCGAACTCCTGACCTCAGGTGATCCACCCAAAGTGCGGGGATTACAGGTGTGAGCCAATGAGCCCAGCCAGGGGCTTCATTTTAAGAGTGCTGGTGAGCAGCTTAGATGGAGAAGGTGTCAGCACTGCTGCCTAGAGTTGTTTTGTGTATTTAGGGCTTTACATTTACCCAGACCTCCCTTCCAAGCTGATAGAGCTCTCATGGTACAAGCAAATCAGAATTAGGGATCTTACTGTTTGTAGCCAACATTGCCACGTAAGCAGTAGAAATAAGGTTGTTTGATTCTCTTTATTGGACTGAAATGATAAGTAAATCCGAATTATTTTTAGGTCATGTACCTAACCCTCTATGTTCACTGTAGCTCTGCTTCTTTTTCCTTCTGGGACTCAGTTACTATCATCTGTAAAATGGGATAATGAAGCACCTCCCTCATTCATTGTGATATTTCAGAAATTGAAAATGATCAATACAATATCTAGCATAGAGTAAGGGCTAAAAGAATGTTAGCTGCTGTTTTAGGATGATGACGGTCATCATTATTCTTCCCTTTCTCATTAGTTACCAGCAGTAAGATCTGTCCATTCCCAGGGACCACTGGGATTAGGAGGTAGTTTTATTAACAGCATGGGCACTAATGTGATTGAAATATTCCTTCCCACTTCTACTTTGCTCCTGAAGAAATCCTACATTAGGGCCGGGCATGGTGGCTCACATTTGTAGTCCCAACACTTTGGGAGGCTGAGGCAGGAGGATCACCTGAGGTTAGAAGTTCGAGACCAGCCTGGCCAACATGGCGAAACCCTGTCTCTACTGAAAAATACAAAAAATTAGCCAGGTGTGGTGGCGTATGACTGTACTCCCAGCTACTCCACAGGCTGAGGCAGGAGAATTGCTTGAACCTGGGAGGCGGAGGCTGCAGTGAGCAGAGATCCACATAATTACATGTGGAAAATGTGTACTGTGTAAAAACTCCTGGGGCTAAAGGAAATGAGATGAAACTGAAATCCCTGGAAAGATTTAGTGTACTCCAGCCTAGATGATGGAGTGAGACTCTCAAAAAAAAAAAAAAAAAAAATCCTACATTAGCTCCCTTTTCTCCCATCTAGTGGCACTTCCTGGCTCTTGTTTTTTACTGTATTTTCAGAGAGCAAAACCTTCCTCCTTCACGTATGTCTTTGTGTGTTAAGATGACCCCTTTATGCTTAGCTCTCCTTCTACATCCTCTGTTAGACACCAGCGTCCTTTTTGGTTTTCTTGTTCTTCCTTGGCAGGGGTTATAAAATTAGAGTTAGCTGATTAAAAAAAACAGCTTGAATAGTCTTTGAAGAAAGGTCAGCACTCAAGAGATTAAGATGTTGTTCACTGAGAAAAGTCCACAAAGAGTAGTGTGTTTCGACTTGAATACTTCATATAAAGTTGTGTGGGGGCCAGGTGCAGTGGCTCACGCCACTTTGGGAGGCCGAGGCAGTAAGATGTCTTAAGTTCAGGAATTTGAGACTGGCCTGGGCAACATAGTGAGGCCCAATTCATGCAAAAGAAAAAAAAAATTAGGCAGGTGTGGTGGCTTCTGCCCTGTAGGCCCAGCTGCTCGGAAGGCTGAGGTGGGAGCATCGCATGAGCCCAGGAGGTTGAGGCTGCAGTGAGCCGTGATCCTGCCACTGCACTTCAGCTTGGGTGACAGAGCAAGACCCTGTCTCAAAAAAAAAAAAAAATTGTGTGGCTAGTACATGAGACGATGTATGTAGCACTTAACAGCATCAGCATCTGCACATGGTATTTAGTACATAGTGATGGCTGCTACCCCAAGAGCTGTTATCAACATTACTCCTACCTCTTCAGCATTTGTGGGGCCTTTGTTATCCACCCTGGGCCATCCCATTTTAAAGAGAGCAAAAAAAAAAAATTGAATAGACTCTGAAGGAAATCATTTAATGTGATTATGTAGTTGGAAAATAAAACCCTCTTCCTTCAATAAAGAAAGGTTAAATGATTTGGAATTATTTAGAAGACAGAAGAGAAAGCTGAATAGAATTTTAATCATAGTAGTAAAGTTCCATCAATTTGGAGTCTGATTATTTCAGTTTTGATCATTGAACAGAACAGAATCAGGAAAATAATTTGTTGAGTAAATTAATGGTATACACAAGATTAAGGATGTTGCTGAATGCTTATTTACTGGAAGTGATTTTAAGCAGTTTAGAAGTATCAGTGTACATTTAAAATCTGTAATCTAATTGTGATCTATCTTAGTCCATTTAGGCTGCTATAACAAAATGCGTGAGTATCTTATAAAGAACAGAAATTTTATTTATTTATTTATTTATTTATTTATTTATTATTTTTTTGATTTAGAGACAGCCTTGCACTGTCACCCAGGCTGGAGTGCAGTGGTTACGATCTCAGCACATTGCAACCACCGCCTCCCGGGCTCAAACGATTCTCATGTCTCAGCTTCCCGAGTAGCTGAGACTGCAGGTGTGCACCACCAGGCCCAGCTAGTTGTTTTGGTATTTTTAGTAGAGACGGGATTTCACCGTATTGGCCAGGCTGGTCTCCCGATGCCTGGCATCAAGTGATCTGCCCACCTTGGCCTCCCAAAGTGCTGGGATCACAGGCATGAGCCACTGCACCTGGCCCAGAGATTTATTTCTCACAGTTTTGGAGGCTAGGAAGTTCAAGATCAAGGCTCTAGCGGATTTGTGTCTGGAGAGGGCCACTTCCTGTTTCATAGAAGATCTATTCTATGTGTCTTCACATAGCAGGAGGGGCTCCCTTGATGGAAAGAACACAATTTCTGTCTGAAAGGAGAGGAGACAGAGAATAAACAATAGTCTAGTACCTGATCCAGTAATATAAGTACTATGATGCTGTAGGTATATATAGGAGATGCATCTGATGTAGTCTTTGGGACCTGTGGGGAACATGTCACAGAGAAAGATGCTTAGGCTAAGACTTGAATTCTGTTCTATGTGTCTTCACATAGCCGGAGGGGCTCCCTTGGGCCTACTTTGTAAGGCACTAATCCCATCATGAGGGCTCTGCTCTCATGATGTAAACAACTTCCAAAAGGTACCACCTATTAATACCTTCATGTTGGTGATTAGGTTTCAACATATGAATTTTGAGGGGACACAAACATTCAGACCATAGCACAAACGCTTCCTGCATGGTCATTAAATTACAGTGTGTAGCATATAATGAGTGTTCAGAAAGCTTTATTGAATAAATTTCCTTTTCACTCCTACTAAGCAATTAGTAAGCAATAAGCAAAAAGATTACTTATTGTCCAAAGACAACAATTATAGTAAGTTCATTGTGGTTATTTTGTGGATTAAAAATATTTCTGTAATTCCGTGTTTTACAAAAGTCCTCATACCTCAGTTCCTCTTCCCAGTACTTTTCCAAATTAGCTAAGGTTTTTTTTATATCTTCCTTTTATAGGGAGGAAAAAACTTTTAGGAGTGATTCTTAATAATTGTTATAAGAACCCTGATTTTGCCTATTTTAGAATCAAATCCTGAGGCAGTTAAAATTTGATTTATTATCAAGTTTCCAGAAGTTAACACTTAAATCATCTCAGCACCACAGATGCAATTGTGCTTAAACTCTGCATAGCTTGTACTGTGTTAAAATGTTACTTTGAAAGCTAGTTTTTATAAAGTGTATTTCTTTACAGTTTGCACTTCTATTTGGCAAAATTGCCTTCCTTAGCTGAAATTATTCTCTGTGCTTTTCCATTGTACAGAAAATTTTGGCTTTTATACCTTGGCAACTGTTTTTCAAATTTATAGACAATTGAGATGAAAATGGCAACTGGCCACAGGTTTTAGAGAATGACTGGCAGTAATCATAGAAGGCTATTAAAATATGCCGCAGGCAACATTTTAATTAAGTAAGGCCTTTAGTCTATAGTGATGTACATTTTGTGATCATGTCGTCATGTTCTTTTAACACTTGTATTTATTCATATACTAATTTATCTACAATTGGCAAGGGGTCTGTGGGTCATTAGCACAAATTAGCAAGTTGCAGCTATTTATACATGACTTACATAATCATTTTTTCCCTTTTGCTTTTCGCATCATTAGATTTTGGACAATCCTGGAAATTGTACCCTAAACATACGGTCTCTGATACACTAAATTATTCAACTCTGGATCATCCAGATGTGTATTACAATCTGGGTGCTTGCTATGTAGTCTACATTTAGTTCTGTGAGTTTTTGTATTGGGCATTCTCCCCTTCACGTGAGCACACCTTCATTTAAGTACAGGAGGAAAGCTATATTAACACAATGAATACTTTGCTGTATTTGGCAGTGCAGAGATCCAAGGAGATTAATGATCTTGGCTGCAGCTCTTGTCATACCTTCCCCCACTATGGAAAATTAAATGTCATGTATAACAACTCACTCTCCATTACTTAATTACATGTGAAAAATGTGTACTATGTAAAAACTCCTGGGGCTAAAGGAAACGAGATGAAACTGAAATCCTTGGAAAGATTTAGTGCTAGCTGTCAAGCCCCACTGAGTAAAAGTGGACTTACCATGAGCTCCACCTTCCTGTATCG